TCCTGGGGGAAGGGGGGGGCTGTCCCCGGGGGGGGGGCTCCTGGGAGAACAGTGTTTGCCTACCTCTCCGGGCAGCTGCATGTCACCTTAGCACCGGGGAGAGACAGTCTCTGCATAAGGCGTGAGACCTCATTGAAAATGGTGGCAGATGATCGCAAAATTGGGAGGGCCTCCCTCCCCTCTTGTTTGCCTACCTCTCCGGGCAGCTGCATGTCACCTTAGCACCGGGGAGAGACAGTCTCTGCATAAGGCGTGAGACCTCATTGAAAATGGTGGCAGATGATCGCAAAATTGGGAGGGCCTCCCTCCCCTCTCTTCCCTCCCCCCAACTTTCTCCAGATCTGCCCACTTTTTCTGTCTTTTCGTAATTAGATACTGATAGTGATAATTCTTCTAGAATACTTACTGTCTAATCAAGATGTTAAGTAAATCTTTCCCCCCTCCCATTAGGCTCCATTATTGCAAGGCATTGGCATATATCTAACTGGACACACTGAGTTGTCCCCTTAACATGAATGAAACTACTCAGTGTGCATAGTTAAGAATAAGGCAATGTCTCCTAGCACACGTGTGGCTGAAGTGTCTGCAGAATCTTGGTTGTAGATGTTAACAAATCTATGGGTCCTGGAATTTTGAGTCCTAAATAACTCAGGTTGTTTCTTTTTTCAGATTACTCAGAGGCTTTTAACTCTAGCTTCTGATGCTATTGAAGGTTTTTATGAGCAACACACTCCATTTGCTAAGTCTCCCACCTCTCCACCTGGTATACATCAGGAAGGTGTGAATTCAGAAGTGGTTGCCAATGGGTCAGGGTTTTCCATTCCATCCAAAGTCGAGAAGTCCATGTGGTTTGTCAGTGCTAATAGTCCTGTGTGTTTCTGGTTTACAGACAGACCAGGACCCTAATGCTGCTTCTCTCTTGGATGTCTTCAACTACTGGCTCAAGTAAGTGTCTCTCCTCCTACAATATTTGTTGAGAAGGACTAAGCCAGTCCATCTCTGGGACATTTCTATGGTCGCTTTGTTTTTCAGATTGGTGTATTAAATGGCAAAGGTTTTCCAGCAAAACTAAACTTCCATCATACAGTATTATGGGGAATAATTTGGCTACAACTACGCGAGAGAGCTCTTGGAGTCATTGTGGATAGTTCTCTGAAAATATCCACTCAGTGTGCAGCGACAGTCAAAAAAGCAAACAATGTTAGGAATCATTAAAAAAGGATAGAGAATAAGACCAAGAATATCTTATTGCCTTTATTTAAAACCAGGGTACGCCCACATCTTGAATACTGCGTACAGATGTGATCACCTCATCTCAAAAAAGATATATTGGCATTGGAAAAGGTTCAGAAAAGGGTAACAAAAGGGGTCCCCTATGAAGAGAGATTAAAAAGATTTGGACTTTCCATCTTAGAAAAGAGGAGATCAAGGGGGGATATGATAGAGGTTTATAAAATCATGACTGGTGTAGAAAAAGTGAATAAGGAAAAGTTATTTACTTATTCCCACAGTATAAGAACTAATGGTCACCAAATGAAATTAATAGGTAGTAGGTTTAAAACAAAAGTTTTTCTTCACCCAGCATACAGTCAACTCCTTGCACTATGGAACTCCTCCTTGCCAGCGGATGTGGTAAAGGCTAGAACTTTAACAGGGTTCAGAAAAGAGCTAGATAGATTCATGGAGGTTAGGTCCATCCAGTTTAAAAAAAAGGGGGGGGGGGTGTGCTGGTACTCCAGGGGAGAAGTTGTTGAGTTCTGACTGGAGGAGCTGGTACTGTGTACCAGGCAGTACCTGTCCATAATAAGGAAGGACTGTTTTTTAGAAAATATTTGCAAAGCACTTCTAATCGGCCTTCTGGTCACAAAGTTCCAGGCTGCCATTTCAGGAGCAGCAGCCTACGGCCCTTTAACCCCTTTTAACCTTATTTTAAGTGAAGGGCTAATATGTGAGTTTTTTGATATTCCATACTTATGGTATGACTTCGCTGGACAGTTTTCCCCAGCTGGACAAGCAACTCTGGGCTTAAAGAACCTCCAAACCCGGGTTTTTCTGTGTAGGTAGAAGTGCTCACACCCAGGGCTGTGTCCAGACTCAGGGGGTTTTTCAAAAAAAGTAGCCTTTTTTCGAAAAAACTTCACCTGTGTCTAGACTGCAGCCGCATTCTTTCGAAATTAAATCGAAAGAATGCGGCTTTTCTTTCGACGGTGGTAAACCAAATTCCACGAGGAAAAACGCCTTCTTTCGAAAGTGCTCTTTCGAAAGAAGGCGTTCTTGAAAGCAAACAGGCTTTTTAGAAAGAGAGCATCCAGACTCACTGGGTGCTTTCTTTCGAAAAAGCGGCTTGCTTTTTCGAAATTCCGCGTGCAGTCTAGACGCTCTCTTTCGAAAGAGGCTTGCAGTCTAGACATAGCCCAGGTGAGAATCCATGCTAACTGGGCAATGAAGACACATCCTTAATTTTCGTAAAAGAATGTGCATTCAAGTTGGCTTCTTGTCAACAAAGCAGCTGTTGAAAGGGTAGCTGGTCTTCTCAGGATAAGAGGCTAGAGAGTAGGGAAAAGGAGCTAGTTAGTCCAGGAAACCTTAAAGGGATTAGAGAAACAGTAAAAATAAGCTATTCTAAACAGAGGGGAAAACCTTATCGGGGGTTACTGTGTAGTAGATATGCACTTTACACAATCCTCGCAAAACTAGTTGTTTTTGAGAGATTGTAAAATGACCCACGCTCCCAGCTAATCTAATTGTGGCCGTTAAGAAGCTACAGGTAGTTAGACCCTGTGTCTTCAGCTTTAGCTAGGACTTACCTGAGACATGTGCCTGCAACCTGCTGGTCTGCATTCAGCTAGGAGACACTGCTTTAAAAGTGCTGCGTAAGCCCGGTTGGCTGGTCTAGAGTCCAAGTCTGGTCATTAAAAACTGATCCCCAAAATGCTCATGCTGTAATCCTGCCTTTCTCTCTGCCCCGAGCCAGTTATTCCTCAGTGCAGGTAGGGTGGGCTTATTGGGGACGGAACAACTGATGAAAGAGCTGGCAAGAGACATGGGGGGTGGGGAGCATGGGCAGTTTGAATCAGAAATGTGCTGCTGTGAGCTGGAAGGGTCTGCAGAGTCAGGATCCTGAGGGAGCTGCCTTAGTTGCTGTGTTTGGGAAGGAATGCAGAGGGGGTGGCTGTGCTTAAGGCCACTGTCAGGGCTTCCGAGAGCTGTGTGTCACGAGCTCAGGGGCCCCTCGTGAACCCCAGAATGAGAATCTTCAAGTATCTCTGGGATGTGAGCAGTTTATTTTAAACAAGAATGAGATGAGGCAGCACTTGAATTTCCTACCCCTCAGTGCAGGAAGAGAAATACCCTGATAAACTCCTGCAGCCATAAGCATTCTGCTTTTCTCATTTTCTCTCAGGTTCTGTTGCTTTTCTCTACCCATCTCTCTATTTACATTTCTCATGTGTCTTTAAAACCCCAGACCCATATTTCCAGATCCATGATCTCTTGACCTAAGAGATCCCTTATTTGGTTCACCCCAAAGTCGAGAAAATAGGCATGCGGAGACTTGAACCTTGCAGTTGTGGCATTGCATACCTCTCCATTGTAAGAATCGTTTATCTAGCTAATGCCTTTAAGAGGGCAACTGAAAAACAAAGCTGGAACTGAATTGCATGCAGAAAACATAAATTAAAACTTAAAATTAAGGTAACTGTCAAGAAAACAGGGATATTAATAAAAAATGCATAATTTAGTGATTGCATTTATACTGTCAAAATGCAAAGTATAACCTCTGGCTTCAATTAATCATCAGCAGCACTGAGTTGCATTTTTAATGAGTCTTGATGCCATAATAGAATTGAAAATAACAATCTGTATTTATTTAAGTCATTAAAATCTTTAAACGTACGACATATGAAATCTTTGTCTGATTACTTTCACTGGAAAATCTCTTAATTAGCATCTTACCATAGCTCAAAAGAACTAAGTTATCTGGTGTATGAAGAGAACTCTTAGTGTAAACAGACCAGGTCTTGAATCCTCACAGAGTGGCCATAGCTACTTTGTATATTGTTGTGTGCAGTGGCTATGAAAATAGACTTTCCTGTACTTGCAAACCTCCTCCCCAGATCCCCTGATGCTAAGAAACGGAAGGCTGTTCCCAATGGGCCTCCTGCAAAGAAGGCCAAGAGAGAATCTTCCTCAAGCAGTGATGACAGCTCCAGTGAAGATGAGAAACCCACAGCCAAGAAACCAGGTGGGGTTTGCAAAAGGGCTTTGGGCTGGGTAAGTGGGCGTGGTTAGCTTGGGAAAAGTTCTGAGGCTGGGTACAGAGCTTCGCAGCTTGTGTTTAGGGCTTTGAACAGTCATCGTGAACTGCAGGATCTGGGTTCTGATAAGATCTGTATCTATCCAGGGTCACTTGCACTTTTCACTTCACATACTCATGCTTCACAATGGGATCTTTGCCAGTCTGATCATCAGTAAAGTACCAAGGTTGCTGTGAGTATAAATCAGGCTTGCAGCAGCTGGAGGTGTGTGGTAGTCGCACATTGGCTGATGCTGGATGGGTGCTTGGACAGCTGTTGTCCTGTGAGCTGCGGGACAGTATGGAGTTAGCAGATACCAGAGCTAATTACCTACCTCCAGGCTTTCTGCAACAACCACCACTGTGGTAGCTAGGTAGAATTAGACGCATGACTGCGCCAATGAGTGGTTCCTGGTCATGGTAGAGCGATCTAAACCGTGATTTAAACCACTTGGTTTTTGAAAATGTTTTGTTTGTTAGTGAACTCGAAGTCTAAGCTTTTCAGTAGCAAAGTTCACTGTGAACTTATACGTAGTCCACATTTTCAAAAATAGCTTGTTTGCACTCCTAAGTGATGCAGAAACACATCACTGATAATGCACGGCACTGTGTCGGCAGGAGGCTAACAGCGTTGGGTGCTCAGGAGTTGGGAAACATCAGGGCCTGCTCAGATGTGTATTCTGCTGAGAATGTGAGCCTTTCCCCTCTCTCTGTTCCGTGTCTCCTTCAGTGCCCCCCTAGCGCTAGGCCCTCGCTTGTGCCAAGTAGAGGGCACTGCTTTGCCTGACGTGGCACCTCCGTTCTGCCCAGCTCACCTTTGTTGCTGCCGCCATGAATAGATTCACGGGAGACGAGCAGACAGCAAACTTATGGCAGTCAGGGAGGAAGCAATGAGGCAACAGGAAACTGAGCTGAGACCTAATTTTGGCTCTTCCCAATCCTGAATTTGAACAAGGCTTTTCTCTTGATTTTCTGAAGACGGCTAGGAACATGATCTCTCGCTGGACAGTTTCCACACGGTATCCAGCGGAGGTGGAAAGCACAGGGCAAGAAGGAGTGGCTTTGGCTAATGCTCGGCAGTTCCTTAGTGCCCAGCCGTGCAGTGAAGCAGTTTTCTTTGGAAGCCTGTCAGTAAGAGCCGCTCTCTCGGTTTTAAGTGATATGATTAAAATACCTAGATGCTGTAACACACGCTCCCTTCTAGCAGCACCTCCTGTTCTGTGGCCCGGCTGTGCCCATGGAGGTGTGCATGGCAAGAAAGGAGCCATTTCTGCCCTGGGCTACTCGCCGTAGGGGCTTCTGCCAGACCTGCGGGAAGTGGAGATACATGCCTGAGGCTCAACAAGACTCGCCAGCGGCAGTGCGACACATTTCTGTTTTCTTGCGATATACATGCCAGGCTGGGAATGAATGTGTCATCCGTGTCTGCTCTCTCCAACACAGCAGCGAAGCCGGCGCCTGTGCCGAAGGTGACAGCCAAAGCACAGGCGCAGCAGCGAGGACTCCAGCGAGGATTCAGACTCTGAGGAGGAGGAAAAGAAGCCTGCACAGGTCAGCTTTTCCTTCCTGTCCTCTCCAAAGTGTGTGGCACAGTAATGGAGAATACTAAATGTGACCCACACTGCGGGACTGGCAAATACTCTTGGTGCTGGGGGAGAGGGTGGCTACAGAACATGGGTTCTAGGGATGTGAGCGACTAGTCGACTGTATGATAAGCAAAAGCTTATCGGATAGTTGACTAGTCCCTTGACTAGTCGCTTCCCCCCCTTGCTGCCTCTGATAGCAGCCTCAGAGGCAGCAAGTGGGAGGCTGATTCCCCCCAGCACTGTCTCTGCGGGGGGCAGGGGGATAGTGGGGACCGGGAGTGAGCCAGGAATCAGCTGATTCCCGGCTCACACCCAGTCCCAAAAGCTGCACCTCTGCTTTTTAAATGTATTAAGAGCCTACTGGCTCTAAATACATTTAAAAGGCTGGAGCGCAGCAGGGAACCCAGCATGAGCCTGGCAGCAGCTGG